TTAAATGATTTTTTTGTATAAATTTATATATAAAATTGGGTGAGTCAACTCATTTGATTTATAAGTAACAGCATTTGAACCCCTGAAAAAGGATATGTCCTCTGACTGTTATTGAGACAAATTGCATAGTAATGAATATGAGCTATTTAAGGTCGATCAATTTATCAAATGGTTGCAGAAGCAAGATTTTGAAGACTTCTTTAAACTAATAAACCCAAGATGCAAGAAGTTCTCCTAGACCAATAGAGAACAGAGTACAAGAATTGATCAGATTTGAATAACAGATGATTTAATCAGCAGACTATATAAAGCAAATATTCAAGATATAGACATTTTTACTAGCAGTAACTATGGAGCAGTACTCACAAAAATAAAACTAAAATATTTATTATCTTCAGTTAGCTATGCAGAACTCAAAAGAGAAAATTTTAGTAGAACCATTTTTCTATATGATAAGGCAACGAAAGAAAACTAGAATAATTATAGAGTAGAAGTAGAAAGAATTCTTAGAAACAAGGGAAATCTAATACAAAACCTTTCGAATTTTAATCATTCTTCAGAAAAAAAAACTCAGAATTTGCTAGACGAAGCATGAATTTAATTAGCAAAAGTATACTAGCAGTGACTCAAAAAATGCTTTCTAAAAAGAAAATCACAAATATATTAGCAACTAAATTAAAATAAGAAAAGAAGTTCAGGCTATTACAACTTACAGTCCATTTGGGTAGATGGATAAGCTTGAGTAGAAAAAATTTCAAACTATAATATATAACTGAGAATATTCAAGAGCTTAATAAACAGATTAAATACATTAAGTCCTGTTATAGAACTTATATAGAGGAAATTCAGAATTGTCAAATAAAAGAAGTAATCAATAACCTAAAGAGTTGGTAAAAAATTCTTAATAAAAGAAGAATGGAAGAACTGAAGAGGATTAGAAAGAATAAAATAAATAGAAACATTGAACGAAAATATTAAATGATAGATAAACAACAAGGAAGATGTTAGCTTACTCAATAAGCCAATTAGGAAAATCAATATAGGCAGACTATTTGAAGAAAATAACCTTACAAAAAGGCTAATTACTAATCTAAAAGAAGTATTGGAGAGTACAAGTAGACATTTCTAAAATCAATTTAAAGCAAAAAACTTCCAAAAAGAGTTAATAGATGAAGAATGAGCTAAAGAATATAGTTCTATAAAAGAAATACAAAAGGTCTGGTACTATTGTTTGAATGAAAACATTATAGAAATAAAATAATCTGAGATGCTAATAGACCTGAAAAAGAACACAGCACCAGGTATCTTAGGCATAACATATATACTAATTAAAGCAGCAAGTGAATAAGCACAAGAGGTTTTCAGAGATATTGCAAACATATACATAAAAACAGAAATAGTCTTAAAAAAGTAGAAATTGTTTCAAATATACCCAATTCTAAAAGAAGAAGACTGGCACTACAATTTAAATAATGTCAGACCAATTGCATTATTAGAAACATTCCACAAGTGTATGACTAAAGTGCTTACTAAAAGATTTGCTAGAGTTCTAAAGAAAAATATACTAAAAGGTATGAATTTTGCTGGCCTTCTAGGTAATTTTACAGAAAAGCTGGTGCACATTCTAAATACAATTATAGAAAATGCAAAAAATAATAGCAAAGAATTGTGAATTGTATTTCAAAATATGAAAAAGGCTTTCAATTCAATATCACTAAAAGCTTTACGAAAAGCAATGGAAAGAATCAAGCTGTTTAGAACAACAATTAGACTTATACTTATACTTTTTGAAAATAAACAATCTAAAATTATCATAGGTCTAGGCCTAACAAACTTCTTTGAAATACAAGAAAGAATAGAATAAGGTGAAGTAATTTTACTATTAGTATGGAGAATCTTTTATGATCTGCTTCTAGAAAAAATTCAAAGGGATGATAAGTTAGGATACACAGTAATTTATAGAATGCTGTTAGATCTAAACTCAAATTCTGTAATTAACAATATTTAGAGACAAGCAGTAGTAGCTTTTGCAAATGATACGACATGGATAGCAGAGAACAAAGAGCAGATGAAAAAACACTTTCAATTACAAAAGAATTCTTCAGAATAAATAATATTCAAATTAATAGAAAAAAAACTAAGCTAATCATGATAAATTCAAAAGACATCAAAGAAGAAAAGAAAATTTTCTTTGAAAAAGAGTAGATATATGAAAAAGGAGAAAACAAGATAACAAGATTTCTTGGAATTTGGTTGAATAACAAGATGAAAAAAAGGCAGTTAAAGCCAAGGCAAAATACAATCAATATCTAAAGGCCTTATCATTAAAAAGATGACGATCAGTCAAGTATTCTATATAAACAACATGTGTATAATTTTTAAATTATATTACATATTGCAGGTCATAAAGATGTTTAAAAAGATGATCAACAATATATATACTACTACTACAAATAGCAAAAAACAAGATAGAGATTGTATGTATAACAAGAACAAGCATAGTACATCATAGAAGTTTAGATAACTGTTTTCCTTTGTAGAACCAGCTGTTACTTAAGCAAATCACAAGTCTTCATAATCATCTCAACTTAACTAGTCCAGAGAAGATATTAACAAAAATAAGAATTAAAGAAGGACTTCTGCTTGTTGATGCTTCAGAAAATAAATGATATGAAGAGACCTTAGAAATATATTTGAAAATTTGAAAAAATAATTTAGCATGTCTAATAATGTTAAGAGCAAAGGAACTAAACTTTGTTTTTAACTTTAGCAGTACTAACCTTTTAGAATTTAGCCAGAATTAAAAACTTTGTACTATATTAGGAAAACTATTTACAGCTCCAGAAGCATATTGTTTTAAGAATCTTAACTTGACACTTATTGACCAACTACTAGACCCAAGAAGAGAATAAATAATAACTTGGCAACAACTCAAATTTCTTAGAAAGGGAACAAGCAGAAGCAGAATAGCTAAATAGTTTAAACAAATTAAAGAATTAATACTAGAAAACTCTCAAGACAGGCTGGTTAAATTACAATACAGAACAGAGAATAACAACAGATGGTTCTTAAGAGCTCAATTGACTAAACTTTTAGCAAATAATTGGATCAAGAAGTGGATAATCATAAAACCACCAAAGAATGAAAGAACTCAAAACCAGTAATTGCACAAGTAATCTCAAAAACACAAAATAAAATTCTAGTAGAACATTGGAATTTAAATAATTTTCACAATATGAAAAACTTTATACTAGAAAAATATATAGAGTGCAAATTAGACCAACAAGAAGCAATTGAAACTTGTGAGAAGTAGTATTACAAAAGCAAAATCCAAGGGTCCCTATCTGTCTTTATTAAAAGAAAAGGAAACAATTGGAGATTAGAGAATCCTTTAAGCTCAATTGAAGTAAATATAGAAGTAAAAAAGCAAGAGTAACTGAAGGAGAATCACAATATATAAAAATTGTTAGTTATGATCTAGACACAAAGATGATCCAAAAACAAGATATCCAAACTTAAAGAGGATTTGATTAAGTGAAATCAGGACAATTAGTTGCTACTATACAGAGATCTAACTTTTTATACTAATAGATCATTGCAACAAATGAGAAATAATACAAAAGATCCAGATCGCATGGATATAGGAATTGTATAAGTAGATCATAATGAACAAACAATAATTGAAGAAGGCTTCGCCAGAACAGAGAATTGGCTCTCATCAACCAAACCAGAATTGATAGCAATCTGGTTAGCAATTTTTGTAATATCTAGTAAAAAGAAAGTCAAGATATATACAGATAGTACAGTATTTTACAGAAACTAGCTAAAAATTTTCAATGGGGTTAAAATAATCTTAAAGATATTATCGCTCTTTTCAAATTACTGTGTTCATCAGATTTCCCACATCACACGTCATTGAAAATCTGAAAATCTGGAAATCTGGAAATCAGAAATTTAAAATATAAAATATAAATACAAAAAAATTGTAAAAAATAAAGTTTTTTTTTTCTTTTTTTTCAAATTAGTCAACAAATATGGCAGATGCTTTAAATACAAAACTTAAATATCAACGTGGAACTTGCTTTGGATGCTACAAATGTTTATATTGCGCATCAGATTTGCAAAATTATACCTGCAATTGTAAAAAATCTTTGGTACCTACTAAAAAAAACAGGACTAATCAAGTTAAACAGGCATACCCACGTCTTTATAAACCAACTTGGCTGGCACCAAAATTTGAATATATCCATCAAAAGGCCATGAAATATAATTATCAGATAAACTTAAAAAAACCTTTTAAGTTTTCTCTTTGTAGCCGATACCATAACATCTTGCTCAAATTGAATCTCACAAAAACTACAAAAAAAAAACGGATAAAGCAATGAATAAACCGATGGATGTGACAACAAATAAAATAATGAATAAAGTAATGAATGTGACAACAGATGATACGACAATGGAAGATATGAAAATGGATATAACAACGAATATGGCAACAAATATAGCAATGAATGTAACAACGGATATTATAATGATAACTGATGTAATTTATTTTTATATTTTTGTTACTATATACGTAAGGAAAACCTGTAAATCATTTCGCTCAATGAGTGAAATGATTACAGGTTTTCCCTTTTCGTTACTCATTTATAATATATATATTTTTTTTAGGAAATAATCCCATCACTTTCCCCCTCTATTTCTTTTGCAACAAGCATAGACAATGACGAAGTAATAAGTAGTGAAAATGAGGAATTTGAAATAAATTATAAATTATTTATCAAAACTGCAAAAGGAATTTCTATACCAGCAAAATGGTTTAAAGAATCGGTGTCAACAATAGATGAATTTCTTTCATCGATTCATAAGAAAATCATTATACTAACAAAGGATGATACCCTTTTACCAGCTGATTATAATGTAGCATTTAAAGCACCGAAAGAAACCAGTGCTGGTACTCAATTGTCTGACGCCCAAGATTTTATAAAATTTAAAGCTGAATGTTTAAAATTAGCTGCAAAAAGCAGTGATATGAGAATTTATATCCCTTAGATTGTAGTAGAACGCAGGCAAATTTGCCTGCGTTTTTGCACTTTTTTAGCTCTGATTTATTTTT